TATTTGATATGCTTTGAACCAGTTCACCTACACGTACGAGATCGCATCTCCTTAATGACACATAGATCTAGAATAACAGATAAAAATTTAGCAGCAATACTTCGTAGAGTTACTAACGAGTTCCATGCTAATTACGATAATATATAGAGGGAAAAAAAATCGGGAACATGCCCAATTCAATCCATCATGTTGAAGCTTACGTAATGTGCTTATTGTATTTACTTCGTTTCATGATAATAATAGAAAAATATTTATTAATCCGTTTCTCATAAAGTGTCCTGGTCCCTGTCCGGATATAAAAATCGAAATCGGTCCGCACTGTAGTGTTCAGTGAAGCTTCACTTTGGCTGTTTCAAACCACTGTGCACCGCCATCACTACAATAGTCTGGCATTAGGTAAAACAATGTCCAATTTTTAGTATTTTACAACGAAAGCCGACACAAAATACTGATACGATAAACAAGACCAGTTAGAATACCAGCATTGGACGGCATAAATCTATTTAGGCCAGAATTGGTTTTCAACAGTAATTTAACCCAAAAACAATTGCCGGGCAAGCACTTTTTCATAAAGCTAGCACTCCATGTAATTCCTAGCTCTTTCCAATTATCATAATTTGAAAGCCTAATAGCAGTGAGATAAGCTTTCAAATGTAATAAATAAGTAAAAAAGAAATGTTTAACAAGTGAGGAGAAAAACAATCAAATAACATACGATGATAAAATAGAGTTTTGTCAACTTACAACTTACTCCTCCTCGTCCTCCTCCTCCTCCTCCTTGTTAACGGCTTATTCAACCTAACCGCATTGTCAGCCGTAACTAGCGTAACTGGCCTTTGGATTTCACACGAAAACATCGTATGACCATTTATCGGGCATGCGATATGCGTTTCGTGTACCATGGGTTCGGTAAAAGAAGAAACATAACTACGCAACTATACGCAACTTTATTTACATGTAATAACAAGCGAAGCCATAATAAATGAAAATGCCTTAAAAGCTCGATGGGTTATAGTTATTAAGTATTATTTGATAGAAAAGGAAGAATTCCCTTCAAAACGGATTATTTCTGCCAAGTAGCGGGCACGGTTCTCATATGCTGCAACTTATTTAGTTATAGTAGTGTAACGAACCGACGAACGTAATAAACAGACAAACAGATAAACAAACAAATGAAAGTGATTTGAAAAACCTCGCTGCCATCATAACACTTAAGTACTTATAATAGAAATTAGACTCAGTTTTTGTTTTCCGCAACCGTTTGTGCAAGTTGTGTAAATTGGACAAAGTCGTGGCAGAGAGAAGGTGAAAGGCGAATAGGAGAAGGGGGGCTAAAATTATTTCTTACAGTTTACTTCCATCCCCATTAACATAATTGACTGTATAAGTCGAGATTGTTGTGTGCGATGTGCGGTAGGTTGTAAAAATTTTACAAAACATGCTACCGCCATGCTAACCCTCTTAGCTCTTAGCTCACCTGCCCTAATTCCAACCTTACGTGCTGTTATTTTTCGCCTTGCGCCTTGCGCCTTGCGCCTTTCGCCTTTCGCCTTTTGCTTTTGCCTAATGCCGCCGTGCACACACATATACCATTTAATCGTCAATCCCTTGCCGCCAGTACTTTTATTAATTCTTGCAGTCTTTCGTAGAGGGATGGCTTTCTTCTTCTGCCCTTCACAACGCGTCTTGACCATCCCCAAGATTGTGTGCGTATTTATTATGCTTTCATTTCGTTGTTTATAAATGTCAGCGTATTCACACAAACATATAAACTTGCACATATACTTGTGCATGCTTGATATACACTTAAATAGCTTTACTCCCTAACTTATGCACTGCTTTAGCCTACAAATTTTCATTTTCGACTCCAAGTACAGTTTGCACTTGAATGCTATACTGCGGTCAGTAATAGATGTGAAGTTTCATTTTCTACCCCCGGCTACAACGTTATGCGTAGACTCCGTCACTTAAAATATTACACACAGCAACTGTTGCTTATCAACTGCTCATTATATGGGCTTGTTTTCAAGAGCATGTAATGAAAGTCTTCCTTTTTATCGACTTATCTATGTATGACAAAGTGTATAGCATAAGTAAATCTTGATGAATTTCAAGTAACAACTTGTTAGATGACGCCTTCTATATGACAAAATCACAAGTGCCAACCACTAATGCAAATGCGCTTAACAATCAAATGAAAGTAAAATAATTCTACTCTTTATTGCGTTTGCTTGTTGTTGGATAAGAAAGAACCGAACATTATAAAGGACATCGAAAAGGTTTAGGTAGCTTAAAGAGACTTTGTTCAGTTCAAAGAACAACACACCGTGCTACAACGTACATCACGATAGCATTCTCTCGCAGATGTATTTGTGAAAAATTCATATTTCTTCAATGACTGTTTACGTACAATAATACGACTAATGGAAAACTTTGGCAATTATTAGTGTGGGAAATACAATTTCAATAAACTGATGTCGGAAAATATTATGGGGAATTTTCGCGACTAATCAAAGGGTAATTTTAATTTCCAGTAACATTTTAAATTATTAACAGTCGTTTAGCTAGTCTGCAGTAAACTTATTGCATAATATCACTCAAATGCCAATGAGCGCCTTGGAGAGAAATTCGTTAAGTCTGCCAATTAATACCGAATCCCCTAAGCAGGTATTAGAGAATTTCCTCTTCCCAAAGCCCCTGAGTTTGTTTATGCCGCCGTCTTTAAATGCCACTTTTTAAAGGGGAGATAAGTTTGATCTCAAATTGCTCGTTGCTTGTTGCCTATGGTTTTCCATATTTGATATGAACTGTGCTGTGCCCTCGTCTAACTTTAACTACATGCTATCTAATAGTTAATATGAGCGAAAATTCTCCTTAAAGTATCAAAGCTCCAAACTGGATTAAGCTCTTGTGTTTTTTATATTGTCTCGTTAAAGCGTTTAAAGTTAAACTTTTTTAGACAATTTTAGCTTCAGATATGCCGATCGTTTACAGTGTGTCAACTGCCACATGTGCCTATGACACTGTAATGCTATTTTCATTTGGTGAAATACAAATTCATTTCAATAAAATTTTGCTTTGACTGACCGACTGGACTGCTGAAAAACGTACAGTGTACTACATTCATCTCCTTCACTATTTTTGATTGACGTTAAGGCCTCCGACCACTAATTTTGGCTGACAAAGGGAACAAGGATTTAAAAACCCGAAAACTCTTCTCACTAATTGCTTCCAGGATCTTAAGTGTGTCCTTCAATCCATTTGTGGCTATGGTATACAACTGTAAGGCACAATCAGCAATTCTGGTATTGAAATGCATCAAAAATGTTGGTCGGGAAGCTTTCGCCTTATTAATATTAATGCCCGTTAGGAATAAAAGTCAAGTTCAAGTTCATAATGACCTGGATTTTGTATATGTTAAAAATAGAATTCCATGCCTTTCTTCAAAGTATTATACTTTGCCAGACTAAGCAATCATGCAAATCCCTTTCGCAATATCTCTCTTAGATCAGTCTAGTAAGATAGGAACATTGAGAAGGCATCGTATCCCGCATCTTCTTCACTTGGGAATAAACTAATTTTTGTTCCTTACGTGAATTAAAATGAACGGCTCTTAGCATATATAGCTTCCTCTTATTTTTATTTAAACATCACATCAGATCACATCGGTACTGTTATATTTTTCTCATTGGCGGATAATAATCTCTGTTATTCTCCTACGTCTACCACAAGATTTTCTTATCAATTTACGATAAAATTTCATTACATAGTAAACTTGTGGAATGTGAAACGATTAGCGGTGCCGTGCTTAGAGCCGTGTTTCTTTCACTCAAGACCATCGGTTCTGGGGCCAGCCTTGCTATTTAGGCATTTTCTTTTTTCTTCAAACCATTATTCCCTAAAGTCTCCGTCTTCGATTTTCGTCTTCGACTTTTAAAGAATCAAATTGTAAAGCGCGACCTTGTTTGCGACCCTTCCTTCATATTTCACTTGCATTGTTCAATCATTTAACGGTTAAGATAGATAGATATTCTGATAATGACGGAATAAACCTTATCGCAAGAAGCCAGCTCGATTCTTGCCTTAGGAACGAACCAAAGCGATATGAAAGAGGAGAGTTGCACTAGGCTTGTCCGAGACAGATCCGGCCGACAACCATAGTCGCAGTCATCACATGGTATTTTTATGCGAAGCTCTTCATCTCATAAAGTCTGAGGTATGAAGCTGCTTGTCCAAGCTCAGTGACCTGCAAAGATATCAGCAACGTGATAAACTAGTCAGCTTGGATGATACTGAATCTGGCGCATCTAGTTCAATTGCTCATGAGTCCATACGACACTTCGCTGTCATATTAGGCCTTCTGCCCTAAATAGTTAATGGAAACAACTAACGCCCATCCGAGAGAGGAAAATATATTATAATGCATTGTGTTGAGTAGCACTTCTTCCAAGTCGGCCCTCACGCATTTGCAGGCACCCAACCAAAACCAACCGGATTCCGCCGGAATGGCATAATTGCGCCGTTTCCAATATACATGAATATAATATATCTCCAACAACAAAATCAAGTGTATACATATGTCCAATAATTGAGTTTTGGGTGAGAAATGGTTTGAGGCTTCGCAAATTAAGGGAATGGACATACCCAGGCTATTGTAATTCGATTGAGACCGAGGAGTCAGTATGATATTGAAATTTCTTTCAAAATACGAAAATATCTTAGGATTCACAAATGAGGAGAGGGTTCCCATGATTCTGTTAGTTTGTGATTTCTATATGGAATTATCCTAAAACTTGATCAAGGAGTTCTTTGTCATAAAAGGAAAAGCAAGTTTTATGGAGTTTTTCAAATAATTTATTTTCACTTTGTTTGAAATTTGTTATGGCATTTTAATCCTTCCGTCACGCATCACATAACGCTTTTTAATTGAGCCTTTTAAACTAAAAAAAAAAGGATGCGCGGCTTGCATGCATCAATTTCTTTATCAAAACGTGTATACGTTATGGCAGACTGGCTTGGTTTGAGTATGATCGATATCCATGCGATTGTTTACTTGGCTCAGACGTGGTTACCGTAGGTACGGCAGAGTCAGTGAGGCGTTGACTTTTAAATTCCGAAGAAATTTTAATAATCACTGGCCGTTGACGCTTCGAATAGGACCGTAGACTGAAACAGAGAGTTTGAATTAGAAAATCCCAACATCCTAGTGGCTTTCCTCTGCTAGGCGCTGTTAAGTTTGCATTAATATGATAAACTTGTCCAGCATTTACGAAATGATCGACGTCGGCTTGCTGAGGAGAAGCCCTTGACGATGATGGCAAACTGTTAGCCGGTTGGTGCTGTTGCGTTTGTCTCGCGCTAATACCGATGTTTGGTGCCTTAAAGGGTTTAGCCATCTTTAAAGTATTTGTTAAAAATTTTACCAAATATTTTATTTTTGTTTGTAGTCAAGCAATTATTAAGAAGTTGTTTGTAGCTTGAAGGCTTGATGTCTTTGTTTTAAAATATATCAAGTAAGCTGTGACTGTTCCTTATGACCGTCGATTTTATAATAAATATTCGTCTTGCCTTATGCATTACGCTCAAACTCGGCAAATTGATAATAGTTGTTGCTCCAGGATGCAACAGCCAGCCCAGTAAATATCAACAATAATAAACAAAAATTCATCCCCAAAACAATCCTTGTACAAAATACATAAAACCACAGTAACAAAGGAACACGCACACAAACTACCAATTAGAACTGCTTCGTCACCTACTCGCCATCAAGCCTCTCTGTCCGTGACGAGAGGGCGCTAATGTAGACGTGAATGTAAGAGAGAACGCACATATAAACATACGTAAATGTAGAAATCGAGAGATTGGATAAGAGAGGTGGAGAATGAGAGGATGAGAGGAAAAGAGAAAGAGAAAGAGATAAAAATAGATAGAAAGCTATAGAGAGAGAAAGGGCGATAGAACACATAAAATTAAATGGAGAGGGAGAGGGAGAGGGAGAGAGAATGAGAATGAGAAACATATGAGTAAATATATATTTATTAGGTTTTAAAAAATATCAATTAAGTTAGATTATCGATAACAAGGTAAACTTTTACATACGCTTGCACCTATTGCATCCAAAACTCAGATCATTCGCCAATCTGACAGTGTCTATCTTTCGTTATTCTTTTACTTTACCAGCTTAGCAAACCGCTTCGTAGTAAGGCATAGTGGCTTTCTTTTCAAAGAATTCTATGAAATTCTACGAAAAAACCGAAACGGACAGAAATTTAAAAGATCTACTAAGGCTTTGTTGTCGAAAATGTATGTGTGGCCCCACCTTATACCGGAAATTGATGTATTCTCCAAACTGAAGGTACTTCGCCTTATCACATTTTGAAGACGTTCCTGTCGCCCATATCTGAGTCTGAATAGAAACTTTTATCGGGGCTTACCATAACCTACTCAAGAAGCAGTGAAAGGGTATAACGCAACGAAAACGCAAAGCCTTAATTTTATCCAAGTCATCGTGAAGTCATCAGCTATTTCTTGTGAAAGCAAAAAAGCAAAAAAATAACGCGAAATTTTTAATACAAATGAAATTAAACGCAACGTCAAGCGTCAAATAACAAATGCACTTCAAATGAAGGAAGAGAGTATAAGAAATTTCTCGAACGTATACCAGTAGTGAGTTTAAATTTTTGCGACAAAAAGTAGCCCTCGCTATTGCAAACCCATCAGACTAGAGTTAGAGGATGAAAAGCACTCAAGCGTCGAATGAAGCCAAAGAGTCATCGATCGGAATCCAAATTTCGTTGTAGAAAACAAGTGGCTTTCAGTTATCTTATGGCATAATCATGCGTTACTTAAAATAGAAGGACATCATCGGTTGCTTATAATCTTTTCATTTCCTTCAAAATCACATCTTACACCAACGACTTATTGCTTATTATTAATCTGCGACGGTTGTGCAATTGTTTTTATGAGTACATATGCATCTGGACTCATGTTCTGAGAAATATTCGATTCAATTTGCTTAGACTGATTGGATAGCGCGGCGATTACAGAAATAGAAAATTAAGACCGCCTTACACATGCTCAGGCGAATTTTCAACTCTGAAGAAGCATACTCGAGCTAAGCGTAAATTATCGTTATGGCAATAAAAGGAAAGCCTAAATTAGGTGAGTCTCTGCATCCGCAAGTCAATACGGACTTGGGATACTCAGTAAACAATATGTACGCAGAGGATCCAAAGACACCGAACCGAGTAGAAAATAATTGAAAAAAAAAAAAAAAAAATATGCGCCCCCGCTTAGTGATCACCTATCAGGTCGAAATAAAAACAAAATATTATAATAACAAGTAAATAAATAAATATATGAAAAAAATAAAAAAAAAAAGAAAAGCTTTAAAAACTCGGAACGATTCTGTATCTTGTTCTTTTAATAAAAACTGTGACAAAAAATCACTTATTGATGGAAAGATATTGTGTTCACCCATTTGATCACAGTAACCGCCATAAGATGAAGCTTGTCATTCATGCTCGAAGATCGAAAAGTTATTCAAATTTCAAGAGAAAACATACGTTGTACATAAATGGACTTGTCTCTCGGTCTCTCGGTCTGTCGGTCAATCCAATGATGCTGAGTTCTCAGTAGGACGTGATTCTAAATAAGTTTGCAGTGTTCAGTTTAGTTACTATGGAAAGCGTAACATGGACATGGACCGTAAACCTTGCGTGCATACATACTACTCGAAGACTACATATTTAGTTGCACGATGTGCTTAGTTAGGAAAAGTCGACGAATCAAAATCGTCCGGTTGCAATTAACTTGCTTCGCAAAATAGATTATGATTATGAAAGGTTGAAATGTTGCTAAGCAAGTGTCAAATTTAATATGAATTTTTCTTTTCTTTTTTCTTTTGGAAACATTTGTTACTTTGTGCCAGTTTTTCGTAGACATTTGCCTACAGGCAAGCTTACCATCATTTTCATGTAATATAATCGCTTGAAAGACTACCTTAAATAAAAGAATCGTATTTACTCTTTACACTCATTCTCGTTTGACTTATCTCCCTATTGACGCAGAATAAAGCATTGAACATAGTATTAAAATTTCCATTCAGGTGTTTTTGCTTGGACTTGGATTGAAATTATGAAAATATATTTTTTATTAAAACGATTAAAGTTAACAATAAAACAGTTTTCACAAAATTTCACACGAACCCACTCCGAGAAATGCAAGTTCGTTTCGAGAACCAAGTTCTAGGTGAGATGTTGCCATCGAACCACATGAATGCTTTTGCCTATGCCAGTTATCTGTCAGTTTGCGGAATATACAAGTTCTATCATCCTTTAAGCTTCAAACGTAAATATCTTAGATATATGTTGCAAAAATTCTCAAACTCTTCTAATCTACGCTGTTTAGGTTCATACATTTCTTCAATTAATTGCAATTTTTTTTTCTCAAGTTTTATCGACCTAATCTCTAACTAAGTTACCCATAAAGGTAACTATGTAAGTTGCCTACAAATTATTCTTACATTTGTTTTGAATATACTAACTATGATTGCGAACGATTGAGTTTTTATCAGGTATAACTCGAATGTACCGATACTAGTGGCGAACTGTCTCTTCTAGAAATCTCTTTATCTAATCTCTCTAGCAAAAGTATATGTAATTCATAGTCTTAACTGTCGCAAATAATTTGACAAATGGAAAATACCTATAATTATGTTATTTATTGATTCCATTCTACCAATAAACCTCGTGAAGTTCTTCATATAACCGAAAACAATTTTTTCTTGCAATTCTAGCGACATAATGATATCATGCCTGATAATTTGTGAAAACTCATCTCTTATATCTTTTATCAATGGATATATGTTATAAATGAATGTCTGTCTATCAGTCCTGGAAAAAAAATATTATTTAATTCATACATTCATACACTGTGTGTTTGTTTTGAAAAACCAATCTATCGTTTATTTTACACGTAGTGAGCACCGGAAAATGAAATGAGGCCATTAGCAATCTTTCAGAACATTCATCATTTATTTCTGAAATCATCCGCAATTTTCTTCCTTTCTTTTTTTTTTTTTTTTTGGTGCTCTAGCCTTATGAAAAATATGAAAGAGATAATAAATAGTACGCCCTATATGTCCTACCATTGACGCTATCAAAAACAAACTAAGTAGAATAAACAAGAAAATTAGTGACACACTAAGAGAGGAAGAGAGTTAACTTTGCCATCGCCCAGTACTCACACTATACTAAAACGGAGGAAGAGGCCTATGTACCTCATACTCGGTGCCATTGCCTTAGAGACGAATGGGAAGAGAGAGAGAGAGAGAGAGAGAAAGTTTATCTCTCAATCTGATTTTGTGCGCGGAGAGACTATCACATGTACTCATGTTCTCACAAACTTTTACACTCTTGGCTTTCTATTGCTCTCACACCTTAAGAGAAAAAGGCTCTTCCGTGGGCGCGTTTTTCGAAATTCTACGAGACAGAGAAATCACTCAATGCTTTCATCTATCGGGGTTAAATTTCAAGTTTTCTGCGCACTGCAAGCTTTCAGTCTCTTTCTCAATTATCTCCACATTTTCGAAATCGTCCTCGAATGGAAGAAATGTCATCCAATCTAGTTATCTATTTTTCATTTATTTCTTCGGACACTAGTCCATCAATAGATTATCTCAGCTTTTTTATCTGCAAGTTGAAAAAATATCTAACTACACATCCATCCTTATCGATGAGTTTAAGAGCAATGCGAGTTACGAATAACAAAACGAATACGATTTGAATGATACGGATACCAGTTTTAATTGAAAATGCTTGCGAATGTCTAAACTGAAATGCTAAGTAATCATTATTTTTAAATTTTTAATAGAAACATATAAATGCATACATACATACATACATACATACATACATGCATACATATATGTTATGTAAAATAAAACTTATTAATATCGTTATTAATAACAAAAAGTCAGTCGCTATATTCCCAATCAGAATAAAACGTGCAATCTATTTATTTATAGATGAATGAATGTGTGAAAAAAAAATAAATGGTTAATGGGTAACATCCAGAAGGCCGTAAAATGGACTCACCTTTGACTGTGTCAATCGATTTAGAATCATTTTCTGAATCCATTTCTGAATTGATATCAGATTGTTTGTCTGTCTGTATGAATAACGGCAGTAAGTGAAGTGGTATTTGATGACCCGGGTTCGACTGTAGTATTCCTTACTTACTTCCTCCCTATTATAGCACTAAATTTCCAGCAAAATGTATCTAACTTTGATGATATTCTCACCATATTGCGATCGTGTTGAACGACTTTAAACGGTTACTCTCCACTTATTGGCTGATTTGTCATCCTTGATGTCCTTGCATCAAAAGTCGAGATGTAGAGTACACAAAGTCCCCAATATACAAGCTCCCACTTTTCAACTATTTTATCCGCTTTTATTGTAGTTCTCTTCGAATTTACCGATAGCTGTAAGAAAAAGAATGAAACCCAAGCAACTTGGAGATTAAAAATAAAAAAAATTAAGTGTTTTATCAAAAAATAAATATTTCTTCTTCTAGCGTGATTCGCAACTTTGTTACATTAATGTAG